AAGGAAGGTTGGGCAATCTACTTCCATAGTGATACTGCCTCGGAAACCCAAGGAGGGTCGCTATGAGTTGGGTCCCACTCCATGGCACATAGCAACAAGTAGAAACAATATTTCAGCTTACACTCATATTTATACCTAGATTCAACAATGTAAATACACTGCTATATTTGTTTCATATGTGTGTAAATTTTGTTGCTAAACTAATTTAAAGTAAAATGAGGCTTCACCCCTAGCTGCTTAAGCATGCATCTCCAAAAACTAAGGACCTGCTTATACACAACCACAATACCGCTCTTGAGCCTAGCAGCAGTGATAATTATTCCCCTGGGAGGAGAGCTTCTACACTGCAAGGAATATAATCAGTGTCATAAAACAAAAATATCTATGAACTGTTAAATGTAAAAGGAATCAGCTTTGTAAAATTTCACCCAAATCATCATAAAAAGTTTCCTTTTTTTTTTTTTTTTAGAAAAATTATTTCCTATTCATCTAATTCCCTGTATAGAATGGGCATATTTTTAGGATATATGACAGAGCAGCAGCTATGGGTCTGCCAAAGAATAACTATTTAGTAAGTATTTTGCAGGCTGCTTTATTTTACATGTTTATTATTTTCTCATATGGGGAGGGAGTCAGTTGGTAGACTGTGTCAAAGAGCAAAAGCCAAAAGGGATTTAGCAGGGAGGAGCAAGTGAGGGAGGGAAAGAAGATTAAAAAAAAAAAAAAAAAAAAAACCCACTGCAGTCAGCCTGGGAACAAACAGTGAGTATTGTTTGCCCCTTTTTCTGTGTGAACGATCAGTTAGCAGTTAGCAGAGGTCATTCTGGGAATATCGTCCTTGGGCAGGTTGACTGAAAATCATTTTTACTGTTTGTGGATTCTCTGTGAAACCTTGAGAGTGTGGTTGAAGCACAAAGGTGGCAGGCTGTTTCTGAGTCAAGGCTGGTGGTGTCCTTCTGTCCTCCACCTTCCTTAGGCCAGGTTTGCACTGTTTCTCCTACTGGAATTTAGCAGATTGAACGATCAGCCTTACAAAGTGTTTCCAAATCCAGCCCCTTATTTGATGGCTTACAGCCATTTCAGGGAGGTAATTTGTAATCCACATTTCACAGGGGGAAGAAATGGAGGCCCAGAGAGGTTAACAGATTTACCCAAGGTCACACAACTTGCTAAGCCCAAAGCAGATAGTGAGAGATTTGTGAAGTTCAGAGGAAATCATGGTACACAAGTTGAATGCCCAGAGGGCTGATTTGAAATCTGCATAAAATTTTATGCTTTGGTTTATTACCTTCTCCCTGTGGATCCTTCAAGCCTTCCAACCCTCTCTCAGAAGGACCAATTCCCAAGGTGTGGGTAGTGCTCTTCTCTACCTTCTGTGACCTGGGAAACTGTTTTAGGAAAACCCTTACCCAATTCTGAAGGCTCAAGTTCATTTCAGAAGTCCAAGACTGTCATTTAGAAAGAGTTATCTGTGCATCGGGAGCTCTGGTGACATAGTGCCTAAGGCATTTGACAGCTAACCAGAAGGCTGGTGGTTCCAACCCAACAGCCACTCGGAAGGAAGATTGGGCAATCTACTTCCATAGAGATACCGCCTCAGAAACCCAAGGAGGGGTTGCTATGAGTCGAATAGACTCCATGGTGGTGAGTTTGTTTTTTGTTTATCTGTGCATTTGGAAAGATTAATCAGGTGTATTCTCTTTCTTCTAGAGGATGCTATCATCCAGATGATAGTGGAATTTCTCCAGAAAGTGGGAGACCAGTTCGAAGAACAGGTGAGGAGTAAACCCACAGAGCCCAGGGACTCGCTGCCTCTCCTCCTAACTCAAACCCCACCTGTTCTTCCAGGCCTAGCTCAAGCCCTCCACCGTACCCTCACTCCTCTCATCCCCCCAATTTTAGAACTCAGTCCTTCCTGGGCTCTGAACTCTGTTGCCTCCTGGGACCACCCTGTAGCACTTGGCCTGAGGGAGCCTTCCTTTCTCCTCAGCTCAGTAGCCTGACTCAATTTCTCTAATATCCCCCACAGAGACTTCAAAGCCAGCAGCCTGGGGTAGTTCTTCAAAATGCAACCCCAGTCTCCAGGAAGAAATCCCAAGAGAAAAAGTCCAGTTTCAGGAGAGCCTTTTCTCATAAGAAACATGGATCTGAGGAGCCCAAGAAAGTGGGGGCTGCAAATGTTTCCAGCACGGAGGCCCGGCCGCCCAAGAGGCCCAGCTTTCTGCCCCTGTGTGTTGGTGGCCATCGGCCCTCCACCTCCAGCAATACTGGTGAGCAGGCTCCGTGGTTGCCATAGCAACACTGCAGCTGCCTCCAGCTTTGGAATCTTCATCAGGGCTGGAGTTAGCCATCATAAGGCTGTATTCCAGTTCTGACGTTTGTATTCAGCCCCAAATGGTGTGGGGAGGGCTGTGGGGAGGAGAGAAGGGACTGGATATAAGCAAGTAACCCACCACCACACACAAAACCTCCCTAAAGTCTAGGCAACCCCCTGATGGAAATTGTGTTCAGAGAAACCCAACCATCCTTATCTGTCCATCATCTCAGCTTCCACATCCTGTCAGGGGTGTGTGTACACGAAAGAACTGGAGCTTGGAAGACAGGAGGCCTGAATGCTGAGGTGTGCTTTCTGTGTCATTCCCCATCTCTATGCCTCTGTTTCCTCACCTGTAAAATAAGATATACACACCCACACACCTGCCTGCATTTCTATATCTTAATCAGTCCTTACAGCCACCTTGTGAAGTACTTGTTTTATCCCACTTTTATGCATGGGGAAACTCAGGCTCAGGGAGGTAATACAATGTGTTCAAGGTCATATGTCCCATCAAGGACAGAACCAGGGCTAGAGGGAGAAAGGATCAGATAAATTATTTCATCCTGGAAATCAGGAAGGAGCAACCCAACAGGTTGCATTTTAAAAAGGAAGGAGGCAATGTTTGACACCAAAGAATGAATCTCTAATGGTGAAATTCAAGGTCACAAGGAGAGAGATTTTCATGCTGAGGATTCTGGTCATGATTCATTGATTCATGCAATGAAGGAGACATTTACTATTCACTTATAGATCAAGCAAAAAGGCAGAGCGATGGGAGAGCCAGGGGAGAAAGGAGAGCCAGTGCTATGGAAGTTCAGAGGGATAAGGGAGCCAGGTGTAGTCAGTAAATCAGAGACTCAGCTCAGCCCAACAGACCGTCCCACCCTTACCCACCAGCAAGGCCCTGGTGTGATTAGCCATGATGCTCACTTTGAGTCTGGGCTAATATCTGGGCATTAGTTAACAACCTGATGTTAAAAACAAAACCAAACAAATAAACAAACAAAAAAACCCTGATTGCCATCCAGTCTATTTGGACTCCAGCAACCCTATAGGGCAGAGTCTGCCCCATCAGGTTTCCAAGGCTGCCTCATATTTCTCCTGAGGATTGGCTGGTGGGTTGGAACTGCTGACCTTTGGGTTAACAGCTGAATGCTTTAACCACTGCATCATCAGAGCTCCTGTGTTAACATACCCACATTTCATTTTGCCTCTCAGACTTGGAAGAACCTCAAGTCCCTGAAGAAGCCCTGTCTCCAGATGTGAGGGGTCCCTTAGAGCTCCCCACAGAAGCAGGAAGCCAGGGACCTGACGAGGAGTTACACCTGGACAGAGCCTCGGAATCCAGTCAGTACCCCTTGCCTTTTCTTCAGTGGTCCCTCAGAAAACATTGAGCCTGACCTCTCCCCTTGAAGAAGAGAAACTGAGCCAGAGAGGGCAGTGACCTGCCCAGACTTGCCCCCTGAGTGCAGCAGGCTGGGGAGACAGCACAGGGCTCAGAGCTCAGACCCTGAGCCACACTGCTTGTTAGTTACCCCCTGCCTGAGCCTTGGTTATAAACCAGCAGTGGTCATAGCGCTCTCTTTGGTGAGGCTGCCATACGTAATGCGAGGAAAGCACTGGTCCACGGCAAGGGCTCAGGAGATGGTGGTGATCTTTAGGGTTTGAGTATAAATGTAGCTCTGACCCTTTGGAGCTGTGTGAACTTGGACCAGTCACTTCATCTCTCTAGTCTTGGTTTCCTCATCTGTAAAATGGGGATAATGATAATACCTACTTTCTCAAATTATTTGGAGGCCCTGAATGAGTTGAAAGGAGCCCCAGTAGTGCAATAGTTAAGTGCTCAGCTGCTAACTGAAAGGTAACCCACTCAGCAACTCCACCATCTGGTGATCTGGTTTCATAGATTACAGTCAAGAAAACCCTATGGGGCAGTTCTACCCTGTCACATGAGGTTGCTGTGAGTTGGAATCTACTTGATAGCACCTAACAATAGGAACAAATAAGTTAATGCCTACAAAGTGTTTAGAGCAGTACCTGTTGGTAGATAATACATATTAGCTGCTGTGGTGGTTAAGGTTGTGTGTCAGCTTGGCTGGGCCTGGTTGAGTGGCTGGGCAATGGGTGGTAGTTATTTCCCATGATGAGACTGGCAATCATCTCCATGGTGAGACTACCACAAGCAGCTCAGTAGTTGCTTTAGGGATATGGTCTGCTTGCAATATATAAGAAACAGCTTTTGCAGTGGTCTCTAGCTTATGGCATGCTTGCACCTTGCGTGTAGCTGTGTCATTGTTCAGCAGCCTGCCATGCTCTGCCAATCTTGGGACTTTCAATGGACTTGAATTAATGGCCTGCCGTGTGGTTCAATAACATTGGGACTGTGCCGTTTTACTTGTGAACCTTGGGCTTGTCAGCCTCAGTAGCCAGCAGTTATCTGAGTGAAGAAAATCCTCTAGCTCCAGTGGGCTGGGAGCAGGAGGCAGAGCTGAAGCCCAAGGTTGAGGGGCTTTCACCCAGCCCCTACAGCCTGGCACTTTGAACTTAGACTTACAGCCTCCAAACTGTAAGAGAATAAACTCCTGTTTGTTAAAGCTATCCCATTTGTGGTGTATCTTCTGTCAGAGGGGCACTAAGTAACCAGGACAGCTGCCACTTATTCTTATTATTGTTAAGTAGCCCAGCTTGAGAAGCAGAGCCTCAGAGAAAGTAAAGAGGATTAGAAGGGCAGAGTAGCCCATGGGGGTTTGGTGGAAGAAAGAAGAATCAATTTCTGGAGAGGACAGAGAGCACTGTCAACTCCTCCAAGGCTGGTCCTAGGAGGAAGGGGATTCATGGAGAAGCCTGGTAAACCAGGACCCCTCTTGGGCCAATGCCTTCTAACAGTTTCTTGCTGGAACTCATATTTGGCTGTGTGTTTATGGATTATCAAATGGCAGCTAGTGTCATTATTATTATTTTTATCATTGGTGGAACCAGGATGAGGAGCATATAATCACTGTCAGTTCTGTGTGTTTGAAAAACTTAAAAAAACCTGCAGCTTCCCACCCTCTTCCCCTCTGAACTTCCATAGCTACTTGGCCTTGTTTTGCATCTCATAGGACATGTGCCTTTAAGGGGCACTGGCAAGTGGCTGGCCTCGTTATGCCTAGAAGAGAAGGGAGGTATGAGGTGAGGGGCCGTGGGGGCGTCTTCTCCTGGAGGCAGGGGTGTTTGACTCACCACTAACCAGGCACATCTAACCTGGCACATCAGAGCCCCTCACTGGTGAAGGAGGAGGTGAATGTGTGTTCTTAGGAAGTCAGCTTGGCCTTCAGGGCACCCCTGAGCAAACTCATTAGCATCCTGGAGGGGTTTGGGTACAAGTCCTGCCTTGACTCTAAGAATTGCCCAGGGAGCCCAGTGGGCCTTAGGAAATGAAGATTGCCACATAGAAGAGCTTTCTAAGCACTAAAATGTAAACAACCACTTTGATCTTTTTTAGAAAAGTTCATCCAGAAGATCATCACTCTACTCCAAGATGCAGAAGAGCAAGGGGCAGAGAAGGTGAGGGCATTCCACAGGCAGGCTCTGATCCTCACTATGGGCATCTCCCGCACTGCCTGGCATAATACCTACCCTAACCCTACCCTGCCATTTCTACTTCTTGCCAAAGTTCAGCTCCTGTCCCTCTTCCTTTCTGAAGCTTCCCCTAATCGTGGCACAGGCTACCTCTTTCCCCAGCTCCGAGTATCACTTGCTTTTCTGTGTAAGCCACACCCTGTAGTTCTCAGTGGGTCTGCCGTTCAGGGGATGCTGGTTTCTCGTCCCCAGCTTATCTATAATCTCAAGGTTAGAGGTCCTGACGCAGTTTCTTTCATATCCCCCACAGAGACTTCAAACCCAGCAGCCAGAGATGGCTCTAGAAAACCTAGCCCCCGTCTTCAAGAAGAAATCCCCAAAGTCCAGCTTCAGGAAAGCCTTTTCTCATAAGAAGTATAGCTGTAAGGAGCCCAAGAGAGTGGGAGCTGCAGATGTTTCCAGCCTGGAGGCCAGGCCGCCCAAGAGGCCCAGCTTTCTGCCCCTGTGTGTTGGTGGGCATCGGCCCTCCATCCCCAACAGCCTTGGTGAGCAGGCTCAGTGTTGCCATAGTAACTCAGAGGCTGCCTCTGGTCCTAGAGGCTTCCTCTAGAGCAAGGGTTGGTCAACTGTTTGTCATATTCAGTCTTGACTTGTTTTCTGCTCTAAGCAGTGTGGGGAGGTCAGGGAGGGCTGTGGAGAGGAGGGAAGGACCCACTCCACCCAACATCCCCCCCTAACATATATACACGTAAACAAATGTGGTGTAGGATCAGTGGTTATTAAGCATATCAGAATAACCTGGAAAGCTAATAAAAAATACAGAGACTTGGGGTAGGATACGGCCTGGACCTCTCTATTTTTTACTATCTCAAAGTGTGAGGACGACTACACAATGAATCCCCTGACATTTATACAAGAAAAGAACCAAACTCACTGTCATTGAGTCAATTCATAGTGATCTTCTTTGGGTTTCTGAGGTAGTAAATCTTTACAGAAGTAGATTGTCCAGTCTTTCTTCTGCGGAGTGGGTGGTGGGTTTGAACTGTCAACCTTCTGGTTAGCAGTCAAATAAATGCCTTAGGCACTACACCACCAGAGCTCGACATTTATATGGTGCTTATGATATTCCACTTTCACTTACATTATTTCACTTAATCCATTCACAACCCTGTCAGATCTTTTATTATTATTATTATTATTGTGATCTGGGTGAAAGTTTTCAGAGCAAATTGGTTTTTCCACTCAAGGATTCATACACATTTTGTTTCATGACCTTGATTGCAGTCCCCACAATGTACAGCACTCTTCCCACTTCCTCCCTTTGTTTCCTGTTTCCATTTGTCTTTCTTTCCTACCTTTCTGCCTTCTGAGCATTTAATCCCTGGGCAAATCTGCCCTTTTGACTCCTATGGTTGACTGTGTGAAGTCAGTCTTATTACTCCTTTTTGACAGATGGAGAAAGTGAGGTTCAGACAGGCTAAGTGACTCAGCAAAGTCCCACAGAATAAAAGGAGAATGGGGTTCACTCAGTGGGGCCTGTTGGCTCAACTGTTTGTTTTCTTAACCGCACAGCTTCCAGACCGTAAGGAGGCAGAGGGGTTTGGTGGAAGAAAGAAGAATTCAATTTCTGGAGAGGACAGAGAGCATTGTGAATGCCCCCAAGACTAGTTCAAGGAGGAAGGGGATTCATGAAGGAGCCTGATAAACCAGGACCCCTCTTGGGCCAATGACTTTTCTAAAAATTTTTACTGTGATTTGGGTGAAAGTTTATGGAGCAAGTTCATTTTCCACACAGCAGTTCATACACATTTTGTTTTATGGCAACAGCTGCAATTCCCCACAATGTAACAGCTCTCTTCCCACTTCTTCCCTGTAGTTACCTCTTCCCTGTGTCCTTCTTTCCTACATATTCCTGCCCCCCTGAGCTATCTCCCTGTGCAATTACTACCCTTCTGTTCTCTCATGATTGATCATTCTAAGGAGTGTATCTAAACAAACAAACAAACAAACAAACTCACTGCCCTTGAGTCAGATCCCACTCATAGTGACCCCTCCTTTGGTTTCTGAGACAGTATCACTACAGAACTAGATTGCCCAACCTTCCTTCTGAGGAGTGGTTGGTGGGTTTGAACCCCCAGCCTTCTGCTTAGGAGTCAAATGCCTTAGGCACTATGCCACCAGAGCTCCTATGAGTGTATCTACCTGATGTAAATGTTCACCCCTTATGCCTGTCTATTGTTTGGCTGGAAGCCATGGGAGTGAGTTCAATTACAGACCTGAAGGGTAACTGGGGGCATAATCTCAAGGGTCTCACCAGGTTCTATCAGACCAGCAAACCTGGTCTTTTTTTATTTTTTATGATTTTGAGTTTTGTTCCACATTGTTCTCCCACTCTATCCGGGATCTCCTGCACCGTCCCCCTCTGAGTGGTTGACAGTGGTAGCCAGGCACCATCTAGTTGTTTGATCTCATGGTCATATAGGCTGAAGATCAAATGGTCTACCAGTTCCTTGGACTAATTGTTTCCATGCATCTTTGGTTTTCTTCATTCTTCTTTACTCTGGATGAGGAGAAACTCATTATTGTGTTTAGATGGCTGTTGGCAATGGGCCAATGCCTTCTAACAGTTTCTTGTCAGAACCCAGATTTGGCTGTGTGTTTATGGATTTAAGACTCACACCAACTCCTTTTTGCCCTCAGACTTGGAGGACGTTGATTTCCAGAAGCCCTCACCTGCAGAAGGGGGACCAGTTGGCTCCCCAGATCCTCCTTCCCAGAGCAGAAGCCACGAGCCAGAAGGAGAACCTCAGCTGGAAGAAGCTTATGAATCTAGTTAGTACCACCCTTGCTCTCACTTGGGACAGCTCCCCTGGGTGATTCTCATTTGCATGGAATTTCACAGGCTGAATCCAAGGCATGTGTGGGAGTTTGGGAAGGCAGTTGACCAATATCTTCTGGAACAGGAGTGGCCAGCCTTGGCCTTTAAACTGGGGTTAGTTGGGCTAAGTTGCAAGTGGAGAGCCTTTTCAGGTAGAGAACACCTGTCTATTCTATGTGTTATAACATGACCTCCACCCCCTACCCCACTGTCATCTATTAGTTTGATTGAGTTTTTTCATTTTAAATTCCTGGCTTGCTCTGTGTCTCATAACCAGTGGTGTGCTGGGAAACAGGATCTACAGGAAAAAAAAAAAAAAAAAAGTCCTGATTTGTAGAGTTTGCAGACTTCTGTGGTGTAAATATTGCCACCATGGCCTATTTCAAGCTGCCAATAATTTAACAACTGGTTCACAGAATTTCTGAATATTTATAACGCAACTCACCACCCAGGTCAATGGTCTGTTCCTGCTGCACACGTAGCTGTGGGTTTCCCCTCCCTGCATTCTGACCTGCTGCTCCTGATTCCAACTAGATAAAGCCCCAGTCTCTCTATCTGTCAAGTGGAGCTGAATGTGGCTATGGGTTGGGCCTGGCAGATAAACACAAAGATCCATTCTGTTTCTATTAAGTAAACCCGAACAAAACTCTCATGCCCCAACCCTAGTTTAGGAGAAGATTTTTCTTCATCTTCACAACTAATCTGTGGGCCCTGTTTTAGAGATAAAATACTGTCTTTGATCTATAGATGTGTGCTTGTAGAACTTTTATTGGGAGGAAATTAGGGATCATCTAGTCAATGGCCTCTCAATCCTTCTTGATTTTCCTTAGAAGAGCTGATCATCCAGAAGCTGGTGGCTCTTCTTCAAGACGTGGATGGCCAGTTGGGAGAACAGGTGAGGACCACTCAGATCTTCCCAAGCCAACCCTGGAGGCCTTGTCAACCCACAACTGAGAACTGAGTTCAATGCCCATCTCTGCATCTCCGGGTGACTTGATGTGTCCCTTAACCTCTCTGAGCCTCAGCTACTGCTGCTTCTTTTTTTTTTTTTACAAAATGAGGATTACATACCTACTTGACAAAGTTCAGTACATGTGTAGAAAATGCCAGATATGTTGTAGATAAGATGAATGTTAGTTTAAAAGACTTAACGCATCCCATGGCATCCTCTGATCACGTCCTCTGCTGTCTCCCTTTTGCCTTCTTTCTTGGACACACACTTTTATTTATATGGCTTCCAATTCTTTCAAGCTCGTGGCTTTTCCTCCCCTGCTAAATAGCCTATAAGAGAAGATTCTCGGTCCTTGAAGAACTCACAATCTACTTGGTGAGACAAACATAAATGACACCTGAAGATGTGTCAGGAATGCGTGCAGGTCATAGATGAGTAATCAGTGTCAGTGCACTTTACTGCACACCAGCCCAGCTTCCATCTGCAGCATCTGCCTTTTGTTGCCTGAGGATTGGCTTCCGAGACATTTTGCCAGCCACTTGGTAGAGATAGGAATTACACCTCCTGCCATCTCCCCATGAGTAGCCATCAATCAATGACTGATGGGAGTTGGTATGTAAATACCCCAGCTCCCTTGCCCCTTGGGAGGGATATCTCTGAGGAGTGTATTCTACTTTGGCTCCCCGAGTCCTGGCGGGATTAGGCTCCAGTTGCTACCCTGGGTGGGCTGTTTTCCCATCCTTGTCCTACATCTCCTTTTCCCCATCAATGCTTCCTGGGACCACTTTCCAAATAAACTGCATATACCCAAGGCCTTGCCTTCAGTCTGCTTCTGAGGAAACCCAACCTGAGACATTTAAGTGTTAAGAGCAAAGAGTTTGCTGGAGGAGACTTAGGGTAGAAACTAAAATTCATATACTTTCTGCCCAAGAGTTTACGTAAACGATGTCACTTAATCCGACCCACCAACAACCCTGGGTGCTGCAAACAGTTAAGCAGTGTTTTGGCTACTAACCAAAAGGTTGGTGGTTCAAACCTACTCAGAGGATCCTGGGAGATAGGTCTGGCCATCTGCTTCAGGAGAATCAGCCACTGAAAATCCTACGGAGCACAGTTCTACTCTGACACACATGGGGTTACCCTGAGTTGATTCAGACAACACTGGGAGATATGCTGATCCCCATTTTACAGACAAACCACAGAGGCTCAGCTACTAAATGTGATTTTATGCATTAGTTGTCTGAACTCCAAGACCTGCACTTCTTTCCTTTACTTTGTCCTGCTGCTTTAAGATGGACCTTGCAGAAGACAGTCTGAGAGGCTAGGGATGGTGGAGGAATTTAACAAGGGGAGCTCATTCCAGGACAATGAGGCACTTGGCCTGGCTGCATGGAGTTAGGGGAGGGGCACCAGCTGGGAGGGGACTACCTGCCAGCAGTGCTGATCCCCATTCTTCATTTCTGTTTCCAGATCAAGCGGCACCCCAGCTTTAAAAGGTTTTTTTACAAGCTCTCCGACTCCTCCCTCAGAAAGCTGGCAGCAAACCTGCAGAGCCAGGAGGCCCACCCCGCTGAGCCTGACAGAAACTTCGATGAGAGACACTACCAGTTTGCTGCTGGCTTGGCTAATGTATTTGCTGGCAACAATAGTCACACTGTCCACATCCTCATGGGCCTAAGAGGCCACTACAGCCGGCATGCTTATGTCCAGTTTCCATACAGGAAGGCCCAGCAGGTGAGGAAGGGAGGGAATGACAGTGGCAATGTGGGACAAGTGACAACAGGCTCATGGTTGTCCTCAAGTGGGATCTCCTTACAGTCCTCTTCCCTCCTCTCCCCTTCTTACCCAACTCAGATGCCACTCCCTCAGTGAGGCCTTCTGAGACCATTCTAAACCACAGTGATCTGTATTTTCCAAAACCCTCACTGGCTTTACTCCATAATTAGCATCTTCTTGATTTGGCTCTGCTCTCCAGTTGTGTACACATTTTCATACTCTTTGATATCAGTATGAAATTGTGGACTGGCAACCATCTCAGTTTGCCCTCTTATTATTTCATGGGTTTGGTGGCTTGGCTTCCCACTTCCAGACTGTCATAAAAAGTAAATATCAAAGTTTTGTAATTTGGGACATTCAAAGTCTAAATTCAAAGTGCTAGGCTCTAGGGGCTGGGTGAAAGTCCTTTGACCTTGGGCTTTAGCTCTGCCACCTGCTTCCGGCCCACTGAAGCTGGAGGCTTTTCTTCACTCAGGCAGTTGCTGGTTGCTGAGGCTGACAAACTCAAGGTTGACAAGTAAAAAGGCACAGTCCTGGTGTTACCAAACCACCTGGCAGGCCATTGATTCAAGTCCATTAACAGTCCAAAGACTGGCAGATGACATGGCAGGCTGCTGAACAACGACTCAGCTACACAGTGTCCAAGCATGCCATACACAGGAGACCTTCCTCAAAGTTGTTTCTTATATACTGGAAGCAGCCCACAGCTGCTCCAGCAGATTCCATCATGGAGTTAATTACCAGTCTCACCATGGGGAATAACTACAACCAGCTGCCCAGCCACATTGACATATAACCTTAACTACCACACAGAGAAAAGGTTATATATCAACTCAGGGATGGTTGAGGTAGAGGAGAAAGCTCTGGGGGCTGTTTGATTCTGGGAGCTTCCAGGAGGTGGTTATTCACTGACCTTTCCCTTGGTTGACTGAGGAATAGCCTTTCCCTGCCATCACCCTCACAGTTCTAATTGATTTTGTGTTTCCTAATAGCCCCTCTTGCCCTAAAAGCTGGAATCTTTCCCTTTTGAGATAATATTTACCACTAATTTAAAAAAAAAAAAAAATTCTTGAGTTTTCATGTTTTCTGGTGGACCCAGATGAGCCGATTCTCTCCACCCTTTTCAAATTTACTTAAGATGACGTGCTAATAGACATCTGATCAGATCAACAGTGTAGAAGCCACTGAATGAATGAAGGTGTGACTTTAAAGGAATAAAACATTCTGCTTGTTGGTGTTGAGCAAACATGACAGAACTTCTACATTGAAAGTTTCCCCTAGGAAACCAGCTTTTTACTGTAAAACGCTTCTGTCTTCCTTGCCTGGAATTACTTTTAGAAGTCATTTGATAAGGCTCTTGAGAAGGCTGGTCTTACTTCATGGTAGTTGTACCTCGTCAATCCAGTACGTTGCTTCATGTGGCTTGTTTTCCTGGTGGGGAGTCACATGACCTCAGACCTCTCTTTATCTGCCTCAATGTCTTCTGGAGAATGGATCTATTTATTCTCTAGGTTGGGTTAGGTAATTGCTATGGAGTGATCTGAGTTCTTTGTAAAAGATATTACAGAAATATCAGTTCTGATATCTTCAGTAACCTCAACTCCATCTCTGGTTTTACTAACCATTCATTCACTCAACCAGTCGTTATGGATAGCCTCCTCTGTGCCTAAGAGTAAAAGGTGCTACTAGTTTCTGTGGAAGGTCCTGCCTTTGAACACTTCATATGCTAGTGCAAAAGACAAAATATTTACCAATGACATAATTAAATAGCAATTAAATGCCAAATGAGTGATAACTGAAATCAACAAAGCAAGTTGGTTCTGGAAGGATTTGGGGAGATGGGAGGAACTCATTTTGACCTTGGAGGATCGGGAGGCTTTAGATGGGAAGAAAGGACTAAGAGCACTGTAGGCAGGAGGGACTATATGAGCCAGAGATGGGAGCTAGTGTGACATGTTGATGGGATGGTAAATCTGTTGTTACCAGAGTAGAGGAAGGTTTAGGCTGAAGCTCTGGCTGTGGGCCAGCTTACAAGGGATCTACAAGCAATAGGGCTATGGCAAAAATTTATGTTCTTTTTCTCCTTCTAGAACATTGTGAGTTCTGAGAGCCAAAGTCCAGATTGAAAGCTGTGACCCGGACCCAAATTTCCTTGAACTAGCCAGTCAATTGGCAGTGTTAGCCAAGACCCTGAAGATGCTTCCTGATGCCCCAATCCAGTGCTTCATTGACTTGACTGAAGATTAGAGGGGACAAACATTCTATGTCCATACACCATTGTGGATTTATTGGGACTGAGAAAGCGCAAAGCATTCTTTCATGAAGCTAGAGGCTGTGTTTGGGAAAAGGAGCACAGGGAGTTAGGAGACCAGGGCTCCACCTGCTAAACCATCCACAAACTTGCTACAAGACCTTGCACATGACTCATCATCCCCTCTCCAGACCTTAGATTCCAGGCTGACCTAGACCCATCAGATCCCTTATGGCTCTATGCTATGGAAATCTCTGTAAAGACAGGTAGTGAGTACTTTCACTCTGTAGCTAAATATACCCCACTGAGCTGAAAGCAATCTTCAGGGCCTCACCAAATGAATGAATGAATCAGTCAAGGGGAGCTCTCTTGAGATCCAGGCAAATCTGTCAGGCGTCCCCTGGTATGCCTTGGTCCTCAATTGGAATTGTGCAATCTGTGGTTGCATCTCTAAGTCGGGGGCTAGGGGAGAAATGGGGGAGCTACTTTGACAGGTATTGGGCATGAGCACCTGGACCAGGAGTCAGGACCCTTATGTTCTGTGGCCAAACCTAGTGCTGACTTATGTGTCCTTGGGCAAGCCTCCTGGTTTTTACCTTCATTTAAGAGAGTTACTAACTCCTTAATCTTTTCCTGTCAACACATATTCTCTTGATCCACAGGGGCTAAAAATATGTCCATTATCATATGGAAGACCTGTTGACATTTTTCCAGACGTTAAAAACAGTTCTCAATTAAAAAAAATCAGTTTTAATCTTTCACCAGAACAACCACATACATCTAAGCAGATGTGTATCTATGTACATCTGACATCATGCAGTCAGTTGGCCACCAGTGCTCAGTGACCATATGGACTTACAGGTGCCTCCCAGAAAGTCTGCAGTCTCCAGATGAGGAACCTTATAGACTGGGCACTCATGGGTTAGATGGTCTCTTGGAATCCTTCCTAATCTGTGTCCTATATAAGTCAACCAGAGAAATGGAGCCGATGCCACACATCTCTCCCATGGACAAACTCATGGAGCCAATGAGAAAATGGATGTGAAAGAGTTCCATGCATGTTGTTTTTCTTATTGTAACTACAGTCTGGATAGATTTCAGGAAATGGGAGAAGGGTTCAAGTAGGACTGCTGTGGATGGTTGCACAACTATTCACTGTGCAAAAGCACCTACCCAAGGAGGTGCTATTCACATTCTAGACATTGTGGATCTGTAGATTTATGGCAGCAGTTTGCCAACTGATGGCAGTAAAGTGTCTTGAGGAAAGGACTCCTTTTTTGTCTTTACAGAAAGGTGAGGTGTGAGTTAGGAGAGGCTCTGCCTTCTACAGATGAAGATTTTCAACAGCTTGGCTCAGATGGGACAATTCACTGCCAATCTAGGCACTTTGCCACTTGTCTAAATCCACATGCAGGCTTAGCAGCGCAGAAAACAGACATCTGACTCCCTTGGACATTTCCTGGAACACACGGCCATAGAGGAGAGGGTGTTAAAACTGGATAGCAAACTTAATCTTGTTACCCTTGGTGGAAATTGTATTGCTGTGTTGAGCACCTCAGGTTAGAGCCAGGAAGGGGGAGAAGCCATGAGCAGAGAGGCCTTGAATATTTAGATGGGACTGGCCTCTAACCCAAAACAAGGTTTTGGGCAGTTCAACCAAGCATATGTTGAAAGTCATTTAGTGTTTATTGCTGCTTCTGGGAAGCAAGGGAGAAAGGAGTTATTTATGGATTTATTTTAAGCAGTGTCCAGAACACAGCACCCAAATGTGAAGGATCAGAATAAGTTTTGAAATGAAGGTCAGTAACCTTTTGTACACAGTGTCTTATTTGGAATAATGTTCTTTAAGCTGCATGAGTATTTGGTATGAGTTCCCGATGCTGGCATCTGTGTCTCATTTTTGTACTCTATTATTTGAGCAAATAAAGAAATTGACTTGCACCGAGGTCTGACTTGGATTATTCATGATGGGGGGGCTGCCAAGAAAGGCCCCACCTGGCACATCTGTGACAGTATGGTGCCTGCAAGGCTGTGGGGGTCAGCATCCTTGCCCTGCCTGGCACCTTTTCTGGATGCTGTTCAGATGTCCCAACCTTTTTTTTTTTTTTTTTTAAATTTTTTTTATAATTTGGGTGAAAGTTTACAGAGCAAATTCATTTTCCATACAGCACTTCAAACACATTTTGTTTCATGACATTGACTGCAATTCCCCAGAGTATAACAGCTCTCTTCCCACTTCCTCCCTGTAGTTACCTCTACCCCGTGTTCTTCTTTCCTGTGCATTCCTGCCCCCTGAGCTATCTCCCTGTGCAAATACTGCCCTTCTGTTCTTCCATGATTGATTGATCTAAGGAGTGTATCTACCTGATGTAAATGTTCACCCTATATGCCTGTCTATTGTTTGGCTGGATGCCACGGGAGTGAGTTCAATTCCAGACCTGAGGGGTAACTAGGGGCCATAGTCTCAGGGGTCTCACCAGGCTCTATCAGCCCAGTAAACTCGGTCTTTTATTTATTTATTTATTTAAATGATTTTGAGTTTTGTTCCACATTTTTCTCCCACTCTACCCAAGATCTTCAGGTATCCCATCCTTAGGGTGTTCTTTCCTAGGGCTGTGGTAACAAAGAAGCACAAAGTGGGTGACTTCAAAGAACAGAAATTTATTGCCTTACAGTTCTGGAGTTTAGAAGTCTGAGTTCAGAGTGTCACCAGGGCCATGCTGTCTCTGAAGGCTCTAAGTTCTTTTCTTCTCTCTCTCTTCTGGTAACCACAGGCATTTGTCCCCCTCATTCTATTTTGAGGGTAGGAGGCTTTTATAACATCACCATGCATGGGAAATTCTGCTCCTTTGAAATGGCTTCAAAAAGGTGCACAAGTGACACCATAATATAATTAATCTAATTTCCTCACCCTGAGAATTCAGGAGGCTGAGTGGGTGAGGTGGGACAACAGAACTGGTTGAGCTGGAGGAGTCTTATGGAGAGGCTCACAGGGAGGGCTGTACTGTAACCAGTTGCCACTGAGTTGATTCTGATTCATGCTGGCCCAGGTGTGTCAGAGTAGAACTGTACTCCATAGGGTTCAATGGCCGATTTTTCAGTAGATGGCCAGATCTTTCTTCTGAGGTGCCTTTGGGTGGATTCAAACCTCCAACCTTTCAGTTAACAGCAAAGTATATTAACCACTTGTGCCACCCAGAGGCGCCTGGCTGTGCTGTAGGTAGGAAGAGATGCATGTTTGAAAGATAAGACAGCATCCAGCCTTGGCCTCAGCCTAAGCACCACTAAAAAAAAAAAAAAAAACTCATTGCAACCCCTCCTTGGGTTTCCGAGGCAGTATCACTACAGAAGCAGATTGCCCAATCTTCCTTCCGAGGAGCGGCTGGTGGGTTTGAACTGCCAGCCTTCTGGTTAGCAGTTAAATGCCTTAGGCACTATGCCACCAGAGCTCCTAAGCACCACCAAGACCTCCCAATTTCAAAACATAGGGACCAGCACATAAAAAACAATCTAGTAATGCTACTTTAAAAAAAAAAAAAAAAAAAAGCATGAAAAGGAGAAAGGAACTAATTAGGGCTGCCAGATTTGGCAAACAAAAACACAGCAGGCTCAATTAAATATGAATTTCAGATAAACAAATGGTTGCAATTATTGGGGACATATAAATAATTATTCATTGTTTATCTGAAACTCAAATTTGACAAGGTGTCCTGGATTTTATTTGGCAACCCTGAAACTAATGCAAGAACAATTCTCTTAATTACCTCAAAACAGGGAAAAGGGAATAAACAAAGACAAAGAAAATATGCAAGGGAATTTATTGATGCTTGGAACATAATTGACATTAAGAGCATCTGGGCTCTAAACACAGTTAAAACAATAATTGTTATGAAGTTCCATTCGCCCTTGCACACCAGGGAAATGCATTCCTGAGTCGTGGTGGAGAGAACTCTCCCTCCTCCTGGTTTATGAGCTTCAGGGCCTCTGGGCAGAAGCCACCTTCGAACAGCAAGTGCGACTCCTAGAGGAATGGCCTGGACGTTGCAGCCAGGTGGGCGACTCCAGGGACTCCTGGTCTCTTCCCCACCACATAAATCTTCTGGGCGTTTCCTTTTATTGGTCTAGGCTGCAGGATCAAACAGAGTAGGCAGGATGGGAGAACATCTGGTGGGACTTTCATTCTTATCATCTCAAGCCTTTCAAATGTACTTTTAGGTTCTTCCAGGAGGAATCTTCTAAGGGGCCTTGGGTGGCCTTCACCCTTTGCTTCTTGCTCTACCTGGTCTTAAATTTGCATGCATCCGCCTTGGCTCCCACTCCAGTTGAGAGCTTTCTTCTACAGGGTTTTGCATTCTCGAATTTGTTAAACAAATGTGTTTGAAGTCTTCAGGCAGCCCTGGGCTTCCTTATTGAGGCGAGCTGAGGCTTGAGGTTGCTGGTTTTCTGAGGAGCCAAAAGAAAAAAAAAAAAAAAAAACAGTTGCCAGCCAAATTGATTTGGACTCATGGCAAATCCATGTATATGGAGTAGAACTATGCCCCATAGGGTTTCCAATGGCTGATTTTACAGAATTAGATTGCCAGGCCTTTCCCTGTGGCACATCTGGATGAACTTGAACTGCCAACCTTTTGGTTAGTAGTGGACAGCTTAGCTGTTTCTGTCACCCAGGTACTCTCTCTGAAAGCTGTTGTTGTTATGTGCCGTCCAGTCGGACCCGACTCGGGTTTCCAAGGCAGTATCACTACGGAAGTAGATTGCCCCATCTTCCTTCCAAGGAGTGGCTGATGGGTTTGAACCGCCAGCCATCTGGTTAGCAGTCAAGTGCTTTAGGCACTATGCTACCAGTTATTTTTTTTCTAAATAGGCTGGGAAAAT